TCCTGATCAAAATGGATTTCTGCCAAAGAGACAAATTAAAGACAATTTGAGAGTAATCTTGGATACCTTGGAATACTACGAGGCACATCCTGAAAAACAAATGGCTTTGATATTTCTAGATGCACAGAAGGCATTTGATAATGTGAATTGGCAATTCATGTTGTTACTGCTGGAACAGATGGGCTTTGCTAGAAAATTTATTCAAGCAATAGAAGCTATATATCATAAGCAAACAGCAAAGGTAATGATAGAGGGAGAACTGACAGACTCTATCGATATAAGAAAAGGAACGAGACAAGGGTGCCCACTATCACCGCTGTTGTTTGTGTTAACTTTGGAAATGCTAAACAGAAATATTAGAGATGAAAACAATATAAAAGGGATGAAAATTAAAAAGGAAGAATTTAAGTTGCAAGCATTTGCAGATGATCTGGTTTTCATCTTAGAAGACCCACTAGAAACAGCATCAAAATTGATAGAAAAGATAGAGACATATGGAAAGGTGGCTGGTTTGAAAATAAATAAAGATAAGACAAAGATCTTGACAAAGAATATGCTATCAAGACAAAAGGAAGACCTGGCAGACCTATTGAAAATTCAGGTTATGAATAAGATCAAGTACTTGGGGATATACTTGACAGCAAGCTGCAGTACACTAAAAGAATAATTATATCAAACTTAAACAGCAGATAGCGCTAGATTTGGCAAAATGGGAAAATTTACAACTGTCATTAATAAGGAGAATATCAACAATCAAGATGAATATATTACCCAGAATTTTATATTTGTTTCAAACAATTCTAATTAGGCTTGGAAAAGATTACTTTGAAGATTTAAAAAAAATTGTGTTGAAATATATATGGCAAAGTAAGAAAGCGAGAATAAAGTTAAAACTTTTGCAAGATGCTAGAATAAGAGGAGGATTTGGTTTGCCTAATTGGGAGCTGTATTACCAAGCTACAAATTTGATGTGGGTTAAGGAATGGATAACATTAAGAAACACTAGATTGTTGACATTAGAAGGACATGATCTGTTGTTGGGGTGGCATGCTTTTCCATGGCATAAGGGAACTAAAACACAGCGGTATTTTCGAAGACATTATATACGGGAGTCTCTGTGATTAAACTGGGAGAAGATTAAAAGACAATGTTATTTGAAAATTCCAGTCTGGCTATCGACTATTGAAGCATTTTCTTATCCTATAATATACAAAAAGGAACAAACAGTTAGATATGGTGAAATATTGAATGAAAAGGGTGAACTTAAATCTATACAAAAACTAGAGGAACAAAGTATAATGATGAATTGGTTTTCATATGCGCAAATACTTTCAAGGTATGATAAAGATTCTAAAACAGAAGGTTTCTATGATAAATTGACTGACTTAGATAAGATTTTTGACAGGTACTGATGAAAAGGTGATTAAAAAAATGTATGGATACTTATTAGAAATTAAACTAGAAGAAGAACAAGTTAAAGACACTAATGATTGCTTGGGGGAAGAATTTTGGATATGGATAATTTGGATAATTTAGAGAAATGGCAAAAGTTGTGGTCTCAAAATTATAAAATGACAATGTCAACAGCATATAAAGAAAATTTGTATAAGATGTTTTACAGGTGGCATTTTTCCCCGACAAGAATAGTAAGAATGTTCAAGAATAAATCCAAAAAATGTTGGAAATGTCATCAGACACCTGGCTCATATTACCATATGTGGTGGACTTGTGTGGATGCTAAAAAATACTGGACTAAAATCCACACGTGGCTGGTAAAAATGACAATAAAACATATAGATTTGAAACCAGAGATATTTTTATTGGGAATTTTACCTCAAATATATAGTAAAGACTTGAAATACCTGATTGTAAATGTATCAACAGCGGCTAGGATTGTATTTGCTAAAAACTGGAAAAATGAGAAAACACCATCACAGGAGGAAATCATTAAGAAAATATTGGAATGTGCTGAAATGATAGATTGACATTTGAAATTAGAGAACAAGATGATAAACAATTTTATAAAATTTGGGATCTATTCTATCAATGGTTAGACAATAAAATATAGTAATGAAATATGTAGACTTTTAGGAAATAATAAATATATAAAGATGTATTCTTTTCTTATTATATCTACAAAATGATTCTAGGATAGATTTGGGATGATAATATGAACTGTCATAAAACAAATTAAGTAAAATATGATTGTTTTGTAAAACATGAATGAACAAAAGTAGTCAAATGATTGATTAATAATGATATTAATGTATTTAATATTTGATTGAAAATACAAGATTATATACAATGTAATTGTAATTGAAGACTACAAAATGGAAGCACAAAACAATTTGTAAACCAACCGGCACACTGTGTGTGTGTGTGTGTGTGTGTGTGTGTGTGTGTGTGTATGTATGTGTGTGTGTGT